AATTAGGGTCGAACCCATAGGGAAGACGAACAACTACTGACACTACTAAAGTTTCTCTATTATTTAGACTACCAACAAATTAAAATCAACAAATCTAAACTACTAATAGGAAGAGAATACAAATGAAAGCTCCCCGAATAATGGAATCCCTGTCTACTCATGCTAGTGCAACTTCTCGACTAATTGAGTATTAAAATCTCGATTAAAACATGGCGTAATTTCCATGTGTACGTGATACCCGCTTTCGTCGGTGTACCAACCATACCTATAGCTAATCCATACCTACTTTCGTAGTTATGAAATCAGCCATAAACTCATTTGCTTCTATGAAATTACCATAAAACAAGCCACAAAAGTGCACATCTACTTTCGTGAGTGTACTCTCTAGGTTTAACACTTTCATGAACTAGTATCAAAATTTAATTTTCATTGCAAATCTAACACCTTGAGATTATCACAGTCAATGGGCATTTAATCATGATTTTGACAACAAAAGCACTAAATAACTCAATCAAGATAACAGCCTAAAATACCCAAGGCATAAACTTCAAAACAACATCACAAACATAATACCCAAAACTTGCATTAACAAAACTTAGAATCCAATCAAAGATAAAGAGGTGGAGAGAAGAAAAACTCTTGTCACTAGAGCTTTTTCAGCCTCTCCATCTTTATCTCTATCGGCCTCCTTGTTGAGTCAATACAAGAGTGGATGAACACACACTATAATAGCCTACTCTAAAACAAGAAAAGAAAAAGATGAGAGCTACATTTGTTGAGGATTTGTGTCTTGCCTCAAAGGGTAAGACGCAACCCCTTTTGTCTTTCTTCTTTGCTCCAAGATTCTTTCTCTCTCTAAAACTAACTAAAACTAAAACTAAATCTCTCCAAAAGCTTCTTCTAAGACTAAAGGCTCCTCTACTTATAATCTTCAAGATTTCTCTCAATCTTCCATAAGAAGCTTCATTTTGTGCTGAAAAGTCAAAAAGATACAATTGAGTGATATAAAGTTGACCAGATTGATGTCTTGGACCCAATATGTAGCTGTCAAAATGTCATAAATGTTGCAAGAAAGAAGGATGAAAAGCCGTGCAAGTTGTAGATTTTTCCCGCCAATGTATTTGACGCGGTATCTGAAGCGAATTTCACTATCCAGCGTTGTATACTGCTAACACTCTTCTTCGCAAAATTCTCTGACGAGTATATGGCGCGATTATCCGACTTCACTCCCTCAATCTGACGTCATACTCAGTATCTTTTTTCTTGCAAAACCTTCTAGCGGGTATCCGGTTTGATATCTGACTCGAAATTCACTGTCCGGCTCCGTATACTTTCATCCAATCCGATGATGTATTTTTGTAAACGGCACCGTATTGTCCTTGCTCCTTCATCCCTACCAAAATATGATAAATATTAACAACTAAAAAGGATGAATTCACAAGTCTTCTCAATGTTACTCAAAGACATCAAATATTGCCAAAATGGTTACTCACATTATCTTAGAAGCTCAGAATTAACAATAAATAAACTAAAATATACATAAACTATTAGGTAAAACGGACACTTGTCATGAATCTCAATAATCAAATAAAATTGTAGGAAATTAAATAAAGGGATAATTTCAAAAACCTCTCCTCAGGTTTCTGATTATTTCACTGGCTTCTCTCCAAGTTTTGAAAATTACACTAACTTCCCTTGAAATTTATTATCTTGTAACATCTCGGTCCAACCAATAATTAAAAAGTGATATTAGGAGGTAGAAGATAATATGATTCCATCATTGCCTCTCATCTACTAAATTATTTAATTAATCTAATACCAGTCCAAACATGAAAAAAAATACTAGAATTTACTGCTTTTCATCAGGGGATTAAATCACATATGAAATCAAAAATAGTATATCATTCTATATATTTCACTTAATGTAAGATCCAAATTACTCTTTTCAGTTACAAACCCTTTGTCAAACATAATCAACAACAAATAATAAAAAAAAATTGTAACCAAAATATTTCAAAGAGCGAACTTTAATACCATAAAAATCTTAACAACTAGCCTTCATATGTTAACAAGAATATTTATGATGTTAAAGTTTGTTCTTTATAATATTTTGGTTGCAATTTTTTTGATTATTTGTTATTGATCATGTTTGACAATGGGTATGCAACTGAAAATAAGTAATTTGGATCTCGTATTAAGTGAAAAAAATGATATACTATTTTTGATATTATATGTGATTTGATCCCTAATAATAAACAGCAAATTTTAATATTTTTCTTGAATATGATATAAAAAAAAAATGATATACTATTTTTTGATATTATGTGATTTGATCCCTAATAATAAACATCAAATTTTAATGTTTTTTTTTTATATATGTGTGTTGGTATTAAATTAATTCAATAATGAGTTGGCACAAGGGGACTCCGTACGTAATCGATAATCCGTATATATTAGGGGCTGTTGTGGGTGGGGGAAGAGAGAGAGAGTGAGGGGACGAAGGGTTTCTTTTGTTGAAATCGCAGAGGATAGCGGTCGCAGAGAAGAGGAAAATGCCGTGCTTGAACCTGTCCACAAACGTCAAGCTGGAGGGCGTTGACACCTCCGCCATTCTGTCTGAGGCCACCTCTACTGTTGCCAAACTCGTCGGCAAGCCTGAGGCTTATGTTATGATTGTATTGAAGGGGTCTGTACCCATGTCATTTGGTGGAACTGAGCAGCCAACTGCCTATGGTGAGTTGGTTTCTATTGGGGGACTCAACCCTGATGTGAACAAGAAGCTGAGTGCTGCAATTTCCAACATTCTGGAGACAAAGCTTAATGTGCCAAAGTCGCGTTTCTTCCTGAAATTCTGTGACACCAAGAGTTCCAACTTTGGATGGAATGGGTCTACCTTCTAGGTTCCGTATTTGCAAATGTTGAGCTTGTTGACCACGGGGCTCAGAATTTGGAAAATATGCATCTTCAATGTTTGTGTAGTAGTACTTGTATTATGTTCCAAGCAGATTATGTTGATGCTCCAGAGCATCCATCTTTAGAAATATGCAATTTAATATACTGGATATTTTGAGATCGGTTGATCACTAGATGCTGCTGTTCAAAAATATGTGGCTGGTGAATTAATGCTACATCATGCAGATCTGAATGGAATTAGTTGATATTTAAAAAAAAAAAAAAAAAAAATTAATTCAATAATGCAGTAGATGAGGGGCAATGATGAAATCAAATTTTTTTTCTCTCTCCTAATATCACTTTTTAATTATTCATTGGGCCTAAACGATACAAGATAATTAACCTTAGGGGAGGTTATATAATTTTCAAAATTTGGAGGGAAGCCAGTGAAATAGTCAGAAACCTCTGGGGAGGTTTCTGAAATTATCCTTAAATAAAACAAAAAAAGCTGGTTAGCCCAACCACGGAGACATGCTTAATATTCTCCTTTGAACCCCGGCCAAGGAGCCACCGGTAAGGTGCCCCTTTAAACCCAGCTTGGTAGCTGAGTTCTTCTTTTTCATGAACCCAAGCAGTAAAAGTGCATTGACTGTAAAATAATTAACTTATTTTGGAGAAGAATAACTCATTCTTTTCATGATATTTAGCTTTTCCGGACACATAGAGCTTCAATGGAAGGACGGCCTTTGAACTGCATCAGGGATTTTGTATTTGTCACAATTTCATGGTATAATGTATGAATTAGAACAACAGATATAGACAGTAAGACAATAACTTATAAAAATAGTTACATTTTAACGTCTGTTGAAAATTATGCCTTACAATTTGATATCATCATATCACCTACCATATAATTGGCTGTAAAACTCAAAGCTGAACATTGACGGGGTAATTCCTTATTCAATTCTGAAATCCTTCTCTTTCTCCATTTTTCTATGTAAGGTTTGGAGTCTCCCTCTTAAATAAAAAAGACAAATCAAAGGCTCCTTTTTTTCTTTTTCACTTCATGGGTGTATTGTTCCGTTTTTGCTTTGTATTCTTAGATCAGATTCTTAAGTATATGCTTTTATCAGATTCTTCTTTTTCGTTTGGCTCAGAATTCTGTTTCGATATGGAAAAATCTGTACGAGCTCCAATACCAATTATTTAAAGGTAAAATATTAATATGCAAAAAATTGGAAAACATTTTATAGCTTTCTCATGTCTTTGAGTTATGAAATTTCACTTTATCGAATACAATTCATATTTTTAAGTCAATGGAATTACTAGTTACCCTCACTAACTCGTGATAAAAAAAATTTCCAAATACTCGGTAACACCATATTTAGTACAAGTAATTGATAGGTCAACAATCAAATCAATATAGGACTGCTCAAGACAATGAAGAACAACATTTAAGAATAATAAAAATTCAATTTATCCTTTGTTTGTTTTAATTTTCAATCCAATCACATATAAGATTACTCATTTCTATTTTCTGTAAATGCTCAATATTTTAACTATGAATTGCTTAAGACTGGACAAAAATACACAAAAAGAAATCTTAACTTAGGTTGGCAGTTTCTTATTGAATATCATCAGCCATTATTTTATCAACTCTTAAGAATTAGTTGATTGGGAAAATTATTTATTATTTATTTTAGTTTTTTGCTTTTCTATCCCTCTACACACCCAACTCTCAGGTAAAAAATTTGAATCCTAAAGTTGAAAGTGAAGAGGAGTCTAAGAGGCCCCTCTAACCACTGAAGCCGACTGCAGTGGTTATTTAGGAAGCTTACATTACTTTAAGTTAAATATTGCACACATAATTCCTTGAGTTTTGGGAATATTATCCAATTAATTTTCCCAAAAAATGTAATGCAGAAAATCAGGGCAAATTCAATCCCCTAGTATTTAAAAAAGAAAAAATAATAAAGAAAGAGCTCTTTTGAAAATACAAAAATCACTTATCCTGAAAACTCAAAAAAAAAAAAAAACAGAATAGAAAAATTAGGTTCGAAAAAAAAAAAAAACAGAAACAGTGAGATTGCTGGGCTGCTGGAGCAAACAGCTCCATTCATCCCAATGCAATTACATCATCATCCTTTTAATTTACATAGTAAAATTCGTACTCTTCGTTGAGTTGTAAATAAAGGCGCCTCAGAAAACGATGGAAGAGCAGTAAAAAGGTATTGAAGGAAAGAGTACTAAAGATTTTACAAGAACAGTAATCGTCTGGTCCAGAATTATTGCAAATTTGGAAGCCAAGAAACATCGACTAATTAACCTTGCTGAAATCTTTGTCTTTAAAATGGCCAACTCTCTAAATCCAACCCATGAAATGATAATGAGTTCGATCATTTTATCATATATTTTTTTCAGTTGCTCCTCAGTCGGTGCTAACCCTACTTGAGCAGCTAGCCAGTCCAAGTACTTATACTGCAAGAACATGCCCAAAGTTAACACTATTTTTGCAATAAAAAGAACCATGGCTTTATGTTCGTTAGCATTTCTATGGTATCCATCCTGGGATCTATTTTAACAGGGGTTGTGGTCTTCTGTCACACAACTTCTTATATTGACAAGTCTCCGAGAAAAATGTTTTAAAACATGAAACATGTGTGAATTGAATAGATTGAGTAATAAAAGTATAGCAATAAAAATTGTAACAAAAAATCATTTGAGTGTTAACTGCGCTTGAGTTTTCACTAAACTTCGCCTATATCTAAAAGCCCTAGACTTGAACTGTCATTGGCCGTTCCATGTCAGCCTTGATTTAGCAGACTCTTTCAGATGATCTTCAAATCATATGTTGATTTCAAATTGGTTGGAGCCAGCCACGGATTTAAGGGGGGCTGGTGGGGGCTTAAGCCCCCCCCAAAGCCGCCGGAAAACACGATTATATGCTTGTACACTTGAACAATTACATGATTGTGTTTTAGAAGGAATAGGTACGTACAAGGAAAGTGAGTGTACTGTTTAACGGCTTGACATTGACATGGTAAGGATCCCGTTGTCTAAATCAATGAACCTTACATTCTCCAGAATTTCGTTGTCTATTGTAAGTATATGCAATTAGCTCCGAGTAGTATTACCTATCGTGCAAAAGCACGCAATCAGATTATTCTAAAGTATAGCATTCTTTGGTGCTCAAATTCTTTGACAAGTTTTGATTGTCAACATTGTAATATATTAGTTTTTTAATTTTTATTTTGCCAATTTGTTTTCTAAAAATATTATTTGCATTGAAGTCATCGATATAATTTTTTCAAACTTTCTATTGAACTATTTGAATAATTTATAGGTCAAAGTCTAACATATTATAACATTGATACACTCCTGATATCATGACATTTAAGTTATAAAAATAAAATTTTTTATACACAACTACAAATATGACTATTCCAAAGAAAATCTATGAATTTTTTATCTTTTTTTAATTGAAAATAGTTATATATTTGTTTTTGTACAAGTGACATATTGGAGCATCTTCTCATAATGTGCAACTTAGGTGGTTTGTGATATTATAAGATATTTAATCAAATGTTATTTCTTGTCTTAATTTTAGTTATGACAATGTTATATATTTATGAAATAGACATACTTTTATAATTAAAGTTAATATTTAATATTTTAAGATGTCATATATTTAAATAAATGAAAATTATTTTAAACATAATATATTAAGGTAATTTTGTTCGAAAAAATTTTGGCCCCCCCAAGGAAAAAATCCTGGCTCCGTCACTGGTTGGAGCTAAATTCGTCTGAATACTTGATGGATGGATGTCTTTGCATTGATATGCACGTATTCTTTCTTCCGGCATTCAAGAATTTCTTTAGTCAACAATCTCCTTACCCCCTCATCCTTTAGCTCTTCCATGGGAGAGGCCAAATGGTGTCTCACCCTGAATTTTTTTCCCTTTAATCTTTGTTTTGTTATAATTTTTCTTGCAAGAGTTTATCCTCTATTAGAATTTTTTTAGTGAGTTTCGCATCTCTTATGATTTTCACTTTTTGCTTAGGTGAGAGTTTCCTCTCTCCTAGTAAGAGTTTTTTCATTATTGTTGTTATCCATTTTTTTTTCCCTTTGTTCTTGTTAGATTTAGATCTCTAAGTCTCAAATCAATTTGGTCAAATTTAAAATTTCTCGTGGAACCCATTGGATCTGCTCGTAGAGGATATGCATCCATTATCCATGGGAGTTGTAGAGATTTATCTATATTTTTAAGAAATTTTAGAATTTTACTGTATTATCTTTTTGTTGATTTTCCCTCCCTTCAATCTATTGTATTTGTTGCATATTTTTCATGTATTTGCTGCCACCAGAGCAACTTTATCTAAATGATTGAAATTCTCTTGTTTATTAAGAAAAATATGCAAATACAGACAAGCATATATTAAAGCATATGAATGGGTTTTTTTCTTAACTTTTTTTTAAGTGGAAGGTTTTGAATTTAGAATCTTCTATTTACAATTCCTCTCATCTTACCATTCGACTTAACCCTCCCCCCCTATGAATGGGTTATATTTGCTTGAGTAGCATCTTGACACAGCTTATACTAATTACAAGGATTAACTCCACTTTACAACCTTAAACTCATATAACTTTCTCATTTTACACCATAAACTTCAATTTTGGACACTCTCAAGTTTATTCCATTTAAATTCAGTCAATAATTATGCTCACAAAATTAACGATATAAAGGATGGTGAAAATTAATGACAATGTATCATTTTGTTCTAACTATGATTCCTTAACTTTGTTTTTTAGCCTCTTTCAGTACATTATCATTGATTTTTATAGTCACAATCACTAATATTATTAACAAAATTAACGAGATAAATGATGATGCAAATTAATGATAATATTGTTTTATTTTTGCTACAAGATTTTAACACTTTTTGACCACTTTCAACACATTATCATTGATTTCTTATACCTTTATACCGTTACTTTTACTAAAGTAGCCATCGATTGGATTTAAATGGGACAAACTTAAGAATTTAGGATACAAATGTTCAAATTGAAGTTTAAGATGTGCACTGTACAGGATATAATATATATATATATATATATATATAGACAGACACACACACACTCACTTTAAGGTAAAGCATGTTTTCAAAAGTTTTCTTAATAATTCAAATAAAGGGTATTGATAGGTGTTCTTCATAATTTTATGCAAATTATTGTTTTACATGGAGAGCTAACAAATCGTAAGTTTCAAATGCATCGTATCGTTTTTCATTTAATGGAAAAAAGTGCTCTAAAATGCAGTTCTAAAAGTTTACAAGAAAGATTATTAAAACATTTGAAGGCTGGTGGCAAAGGTTGTTCTATCTGCAAATATTCAAGAAGACTTGTATACCCACATGCTTTGATTAATTGATTGTAACTTTTTCAAATATACAAATAATAATCTAAAATTGAAGAGGTATTTAAAACCCTAGTTTAGAAAATGTGTCTACCCATATATTTTGTTGTTCTACAAGTGGTTTAAACTTTAAATGTTGGAAACAATATATATTTCTAATTTGTTGATGAATGGTAGTGTGGAATCCAAAACCGTTTACTATAATTTAGTTGGAAGTTAAAATGATTACTAGCCGTTACCGTATCATCGGCCGTGAGAAGCCTGTGAGTATAATGCTTAGGAATGCCGGTTTCCTCCATAAGCCGATAGTGTTCTTCAACATCGGCCATCATCTCTTCTTTCTTTTTTTTCTCGAAACGATAATTGATTGTATTACTTGACAAAAGATTTACAAGTACGAGCAAAGACTCGAATGAACTTTACATGCGGCTTTACTTGCCACTAAGGAAACCAATGTTCCTCATCTAGAATAATGCCCAAGGCATATTTACTAAGCTTAGTGCTTAGTTGATTGTTATCATTATGAACTAGGCAAAAGGAGCACTTATGAAACAAATCTCTGAGTTGTAAAATATCGTCCACAACAGTAGCCAATCTGATATCGCTTACACCTGCTGTTCGAACCTGATTGAGGAGCTGTCGGTTTGGCACTTGAAATTGCACATCCCTGAATTGCAAAGTCGCAGCTTTACACATTGCTAGCTTCAGTGCAGTTGCTTCGTCTAGTAGTCCTGAACCTGAACTGCTTTCTCGTAGTGTCCAACCTCTTTTTGCACCTTGATTTCCTTCCTGCAAAGTAATCCAATACCGAAGCAAGACTTTGTCATATCTCTAGTTATTCCTATCCTCAATATCAAGCACCCATGTTCAGGATTTCGCTGCTGATTCTGTTGATGTAGAGCTTCTGTTTCATCTGTGCTCATACTAGTTCCCTTCCTATCTATTTCCCCAAGTTCTAACCATTCTTGGTGCGCCTTCTGGATTGTCTTCCATGGATGACTTTCCTTACCATTGAACTCCTTCTCATTTCTGTCTTTCCATATCTGCCAGAGAATATGGACTGATAGAGCAATATGTTGCCATCCTTCAGCTCTGGTTCTTGCATCTAAAATTTCGATCCACCATCTTTTGAAACAGCCTTGGTGTTCCATCATACCTTCCCATTGAATGGGGGCCAGCTTCCATGTCTGTTTAACTTTGCTGCAATTCAAAAGGGTATATTCAATAGTTTCCCTGTCTTCTCCACACCTTCAGTTTCCATAAGTCCTTCCATAACCTTTGGGATTGATTTTCCAGACTTGTAGAACCTCTAGCTGGTTCCTTTGCTGCCTGATATCTTTGTTCATAACCAGTAGCTTGTACCCTGAGCTGACTGAATAATGCCACCAGCCCCTTTTATCCAAAAGTTTGCATCCTCCTTTCCTGCTAAACTAACAGGGATTGTCAAGATAGTTTCTGCATCTTTTTTATTAAAGTGTTTGAAGACTAGATTTCTGTTCCATCTTTTCTGGCAAATTAGCTCATGTACTTGCTGAAGTGCATTATCAGAATTTCTCGGGGTTGTCACTCTTCCATCAAGTGTATCCGGAATCCACCTATCTTCCCAGATATTAGTTTTCCTCCCATTTCCTATCTTGCGTCTGGTTCCTTGTTCCACCAACTCCCGGGCCCCCATAAGACTCCTCCAAATCCAAGAAGGAATAGATAAGGTTATCTGCCGCCTTCCTGATAAGGTTGGATAGTCCCTCAGAGCACAGAAGGAATAGATAAGGGGATAGAGGGTCCCCTTGTCTAATTCCTCTTTTTGGAATTACAAACTCTTTAACCTCCCCGTTTATATTAAACGAGTACGACACAGACTTCACACACTCCATACCCAGTTCCTCCATTTACAGTCGAAGCCCATTTTTTCCATTATTGCCTCCAGGAAACTCCATTCAACTCGATCGTACGCCTTGGACATGTCAAGCTTCACTGCCATAAACCCATCCTTACCTTGTTTCTTGTTTTTTAAATAATGCATGTGCTCATGAGAGACCATAATATTATCAAGAATCTGCCTAC